AAGTACAGAGTATGGTTGACAAGAATATATACAGGATAGGAGGCAGTGTTTATACAGTTGAGTAGGTGTAAGATCAGTTACACTGTTGTATTTTAATGAGTTGTGTTTCTGCATGAAGTTAGTCAGTGAATGCAACAACTGTGTCCATGACACTTTTGGAGGAACATACACTCAAGCAATGCAGAACTTACCAACAAGAAAGGAAATGTATTCAATATTGCGAGATGACATTCTAAGTTTGGTGAAGAAATATGGTACAGTTTTCAAGATCTGCTCCGGAAACAAGGACTACCGCCATTTTTAGTTTAAATCAAAGTTGTTGCCATGGAAACTCAAAAAAAATTATTTTTTTAAATACCCCAAACTCTCAAAAGGCACCAGTTCACCACTAGACCTATCTATGTGCCAAATTTGGTAAAGAAATATGGTACAGTTCTCAAGATCTGCTCCGGAAACGAGGACTAATGCCATTTTCAGTCTAAATCAAAGTTGTTGCCATGGAAACTTGAATTTTTTTTTTTTTAAATACCCCAAACTATCAAAAGGCACCAGTTCACCACTAGACCTATCTATGTGCCAAGTTTGGTGAAGAAATATGGTACGGTTTTCAAGATCTGCTCCGGAAACGAAATGTGACGGACAGACAGAAGGATGGAAGGACGGAACCCATTCCTATATCCCCCTTCCACTTCGTGACGGGGGATAATAATGTGTTTGACACACAAGATGGTGTCGTTTTGAAACACATACCACTGTTTTGCTAATTTCATTACATCAAACAACTCAAAAACAAACTGGATTAAAAAAGACAAAATTAATTTTGTTACAAAAGCTTTCCAAATTCTCAACAGCTAAGGGGATTCTCATGGAACGTAACCTCTTTATCTAAATCCTAACACAAAAATAAAGGAGGAATAAATGAACATGTATTTAAATGTCAAAACATCCAAGAATAAAAAAAATGAGTGAATACTGATTTACGCTTCATCAGCAATTTTGAAGCTTATCACAGCTAAAATGAATATGAACGACCAAACAGATCAATTGCCATGCAAGTTAGCTTACAAGTGCTTGTGGAGCCTCAAGTACAGTTCCAGTCAACATCATCGCTGGTATTTCTGAGGAGAGTGTTTTAATGTCAGGACCACTCGTCTCCCCTGGCCTATCACAGGAAGCAGTAATGACCCTTGGGTCAGAAACAGGAAGCAGAGGTGGGGGATGGGACCAGTCCAACATGACAACATGGTCGTCATCACCACTGTACTCTGACATATCCTACATCAGTAGAATGAGGATGTGATCAAGCCTATCTCAAAATAATCGCCTGATTGTTTCACTTCCTACTTAGTTCTATAATAACAGTGATGCCTCCCACTATCAATTGTGCATGCCAAGCCTTATTAAAGTTCAACGGAAGATCATTCTCATAATAACTGACGTCAACTGTTTATCAAAATGTTATCGCAGTCCTACTAATATTGTATTATGAAAATGGGTTATTTCTTTAAATGTCATATCTATGATATGGTTGAAATTCTCTATGGGAATATATATACACCTACAACAGGGAATACAGTTCTCCCAGTGATGTCTGCCATTTGCTTTCCCTGACTGGAATAAAACAGTGTCAACCTCCCCATCACAATGTGGTGAACCTCCCACATGCTAGATAATAGTATTCAAACTGCCAAATGAGATAATATCTAAAAAATCTTGATCCTACTAACTTGTACTATATACATTAGGGTTCTAAATTCCTTGTACAAGAGTGGCAATGGGATATCTAAAATTATAATGGGATTGTGAAAATAGGTTCCCGGTGCCTAAGGGAACACTTCGCAATCATGCTGTATCTGTCTTATACAGCATCCTAAAAACACTTTCACACACGTGAGTGAGTGAGGTTTAATGCTGCTCTGAACAGTATTCCAGTTAAATCACAGCGTGTCAGCTTAATGTTGGAGGAAAGCACGAGGTGATGCAGGTCTCAGACATTTACCACTTTGGTGAAACCCACGAGCACGGGTATGGTGCTGACAAACCTATAAACATAATTGGGGTGAACCGGGATTCCAATTAATGGTGAAACAACATTCAGAGAGTTCATAGATAGTTTAAAAGAACTCATTTTCTGACACGCCAACACTCCAAAGGGCACACACACCCAAGCATCTTTTCGAGTGCTCTGTGGCCTTCCCTCCACTCAGCTGATGCAGTAAATGTTGATGGACACCATATTCAGCAATACTTCAGCAATACCATGGCAACCAGTAAATAATCTGGGCCATGCCATCCACTGGTTGACAGAGACAATCAACAGCGACAGGGCACAACAGAACTTCCTAGGTACACACTATGCCCCCAATCTCACCTCTAGGCTCCCGAGTAGCATGGGGTACTGAGGTCTATGCTGCCGAAACACTCCACAGTGCTCATCCACTCAGTGCACATGGTGTACATGTTTAAATACTATTTTCTCAGGGTATGTGCAATAGTTCTCAAGCAATTGTCAAACTTAAATTGAAAGTTAAGCCAATATGGTTGGATGTGATTTGTTTGTTTGTTTGTTGTTTAACGCCACACTTAGCAATATTCCAGCTATAAGACTGCGGTCTGTAAGTAATCGAGTCTGGACCAGACAATCCAGTGATTGATATCATGAGCATAGATCAAGCAATTGGGATCAATGACATGCATCAACCAAGTCAGCGAGTCTGACCACCTGATCTGAAACCATTCCCATTGTTTGTTTGTTTTTTGTTATCAAGGCAAGTATATATATTCTTTTGTGTGCTTGTTTGTTGTTTAATGCCGAACTCAGCAATATTCCAGCTATAGGACAGCGGTCTGGAAATAGTTGAGTCTGGACCAGACAATCCAGTGATTGACATCATGAGCATCGATCCACACAAATGGGATACGATGACATGCACAGTTGTCTTTTACGGCAAGCTAGGTTGCTGAAGACCTTATTGGACCCCAGATCTTCAAGGGGCTCATTCCCAATGACTTATTCTCAATTACTCAGTGTATCATGTCTGTTCTTTTGTTATAACTGCCCCAAACCCATTTACCATTATAGATTCATATCTAGGTGCCATTATTGCAATCTCTTAACTTAGAAATCCCCGCTCAGGAAAGGTGATGGATATGGTTATTTTCTGTATAGATACACTTACTAAAAATAACTTACAACTCGTTTAATAATGACAGTCTGGCATTTATGTCATTCAATAACACAAATGTGTTGTAGTTAGTGATAAAGGTCACTACTAAGACAACACATTTCAGAGCAGACTGACTTTCATATGAATAAATATATATGCCATAGCTATTTATTTTTTTCTATTTCGACCGACCTTGTGTGGAAAAACAGGAACAAATCCATAAAATATAAAATTAAAAAAGAGTGGCCTCAACAGCCACATGTGTCTGCAGCTAGCGTTTCCTTTTTAATTGCTCTGAAATATGTTTTGTCAAAAAGTTTCCATGTGATTTGATGTCAAAGTATGTATCACATTATATACCGTATCGTATCGTGACCAGTGTATCATGACCTTGCTGTATTGTGACCCATGTATCGTGACTTTGCTGTATCGTTTCACCCCAAGCAGCAATTGGGTCCAGAATATTTATCATACCAGAATGGAGACATACACTGGGTAATCAAGGATGCCATTGATGATAATCTTTAACACTGAAAATGTCAAGCATGCATTCCTCTTGTTACTTTGTTAATACGGAGAGCATATACCAAGGTTAATGCTTTCCCTGATACATATCATCGTGTGACAAACTGAACCGCAACTGCGCTGGTGTTTGTTCTGGCATGACTGGATACAATCATTTGCTTGGTATTTATGAGCAACCTACCCATCATCCAAAACACTATTTATAACAAGCCTGTAGTGTGAACTGTCCCTTTAACAACAAGTAACTGTATGTATAGTTAGGGTCGTGATCTGTAACATTACCACTGTAAGTCCCAAGTTAAGACCTGGACCAATCCACTAGACAAACAAATTACTCGGTGGTTTTTCAGTGGAAGGTGGGCATGTGAAAACACTATTTGTTATGTTCAGATATTCTCCCGACTGGGAAAATAGACACCAAAATTAAATATTATAAATATTTCATGTCATAATATCTAATATCCACATATTGTGTTAATGTTTCAATACGTCAGTCTCATACATGTATCTCCAAAATGACATTTCTGGGACCAAAATATTAAAATAGTGATTGGTCATCAAGATAAAAACTAATAGCTGTTCAACGAAGCATAAGTATGGTTCTGTACCACCAGCTTTTTAGGCAATCTAATATGAACTGTATTCAGTAACACTGGCAACCTATCTTAAAAATACAATGTATTTACATCAGTAGTTCAGCACATACCATTAGAAACCAGACAACTATTAATTCAACTTTACAATGCTGCCCATAAAAAGTAATACGATTTGTTTTCCCATCAAAGTAACAACACAGGAAATGTATACTTTCAAAATTACAAATTAAATTCCTATACAATAAAGATACGATACAACAGATATCTAAAAGAACGAGGTATCTTTTCCAGTGGCATCACTGAGTGTATACAGTGGTATAAGGGCTTAAAGGCTATTTCATGTATTGTATGCTTATGATTTCATGAGATGGATGATATTCACAGACAATCTCCATGACACATTATTGGAATGTTTCAGTATTCGCAGGTCTAGTGCACTCGGTCGACAGGGAGCAGCTTGCATACTACTTTTCTAGGAAACGATAAAAGCTTATCTGTTCACACATATATCACCACTGGGTTTTTTTGCGGAAACAATTTTGATAGCATTCAACTCGACGACAAATCTCGTAGGCACTACTTTCAGGTTAAAGAGTTATAAATTACGGTCCTGTAATTTCTGCACAGGTGGATATAAAAGCACGTCGACACAATCATCTGTTGATCTCAACATCTCAATGCGAAGGTATAACTTGAAGTTCAAACCTGTTACCTGTTTCGATTCAATATTCCAGTAGATCCAAACTGATCAGTGCAAAAATGAGGTATACCTGTTAGCGTCTGTGAGCCGGGACCAGTGCAGAGTTTTTGAACAATTACAATGTCCGCGGTGACTCAAATCGAAACTATTCCACTCCGCGCCCACAGGTGACTATAGTCATCAAAACTCAGCCGCCATTAACGGTAGCGTAGGCATGCGTACACCCAACGCGGAAGCAGGTGCCCGTCACGTGACCTCTGTAGTCGCTGTAGCACTTCACGCGGTCCGTTTAAAAACACGGTGAGGTGAAATGGGGTTTAATCTCGCGTCCAAAATTATTGCACTTATATAGCGACGTAAGTTGCTCCTATGAGTATATATACTCATGTAAGTAAAAGTAAAATTGTTATGCATGGTCACATCAAAGGGGAGTATACTGCATCACTCACAGGAAATCACGTTTGTAAATCTTCAAGGTCTCAAGATGAAATGGGACTTATCTTACAACGGAAACGTTAGGTTTCTGCCATACTAAATATGGTCCGTACTTGCAGTTGGTTCGGCCAGTAAAAGGAATATTTTGGGGTAAAACGTTGTGAGAGAATGGCTGCGACTGGTACGACCATTTCCAAATACACGGAAATGTGTTTCATTTATCACAAGCAGAATACCCGAAGCCAAAAGAAAATTGGGCTCATTGACGACTGGCACATTGGAAACGAGTGATAATAGCTATCTATAGGATGGTCAAATAAACTGCTTACGTAACTATATCATTGTCGTCAAGATTACAATTCTTCATTGTAATCTGACCTTGCATTGCTGTACATCGTATCTTATTCAAGCTGTATCACTGAGAGTAAGTGATTATCTCCCTTACCCGAACAGCTCAATTGCGCACTACCTTTGCAATGTATCGTATGTTATTCAGGCAGCCATCGAGAAACGTTCCAGGAAGGAACTCAATTTTCACACTGCTATTGCAACATAATGTTCAACACGATTAAATACCAGGCTTCTATAAAGTATGACTTTGTTCAATAAACAGCACATGTAAAACAACGGGTTTGATATGAGAATTTTTTTATTAGTTATCTTCATAATCACATGTATGGCGCTTGCTGTGCATAGTTGAGCACAGCATTGTTTTAAATACTTCACTGTATGTAATGTATGGTACATACCGTTTCATGCGGCGGTTTATGTTTCTGCATGGTTTATTGCTTTGACAACAAAAAAATAACTTCCAGCAGAGATTATACACCCGTATATGTTCTTTGCTTCTGGATACATAGGAAATCAACAGGTTGGTCTGTAGTTTGCAATTATAGCGACGCGCATGCACGTGTGTGTGTGCTGCTTGTACTAGTCCGGACTAATGCCGATCTTATAATCCTAGCTCACTGAGATACCATGCCGCAGTTTAACATGAATACTCAACTCAAGACAGCATCGAGCCGACTAGCCCTTGTTTTATCCCCTGCCGAGCGCCAGGCAAGGTAACAAGTGCCATGTTTTAACGTCTTTTTGGTATGATGCGGCCGGGGATCAAACCCCGAACCTCCTAGACAACGGAGGTGGTAATTTAAAAACAAGGTATTTCATACTTCATATGTATATGATCTAATGTCTGATACACAAACGCATGCGCTAAAGTTACTCCTATGAGTATATATACTCATGTAAGTAAAGCATTTGCATGGTCACATCAAAGGGAGTATACTGCATCACTCACAGGAAATCACGTTTGTAAATCTTCAAGGTCTCAAGATGAAATGGGACTTATCTTACAACGGAAACGTTAGGTTTCTGCCATACTAAATATGGTCCGTACTTGCAGTTGGTTCGGCCAGTGAAAGGAATATTTTGGGGTAAAACGTTGTGAGAGGATGGCTGCGACTGGCACGACCATTTCCGAATACACGGAAATGTGTTTCATTTATCACAAGCAGAATACCTGAAGCCAAAAGAAAATTGGGCTCATTGACGACTGGCACATTGGAAACGAGTGATAATAGCTATCTATAGGATGGTCAAATAAACTGCTTACGTAACTATATCATTGTCGTCAAGATTACAATTCTTCATTGACGATAAATATTTAGAATATCAACGTTTTTTTTAATTTCTTGTGTGAATGTTCATTTTACCCTCAAAAGGTATTAATGCAAATGTAGCCATGCGGGAAGAGAGTCCACTGTGATTTCATTTTGTCTGTAATATTTGTACCTTATAGTCAGATTTCATATAAGCAAGTCTCCAATATTCTTTGTTTTATTATAAGTCATTTAATATATCAACTATTAACACTACAATATATGGCACTATCGTCGGAGTCTTGTTTAGGTTTTAATATAACAGAGTTTCTGCTGGATGAAGAGGAAACACTCGATCCAAGTCACGAAATTGACAGAAACACACGATAAAGTGGAGATGTCAGATGTGTGTGTGTCGAAACACTGGAGTAAATCTCAAATCGAGAACACGACCCTTTATACGAAAACATTGCGGCCTGGGCCCCGTTCCACGAGGCGATCTTAGCTCTACGATTGTCGTAAGCCAATGTTAAAGAATGGGAGTTACGATCATCTTATGCCCTAAGATCGCTTTGTGGAAAGGGGCCATGTACTTCATTCCAGCAACCCTTACAAGCAAACGACTCCAGGAAACTGTTATGAAGTCGTGTGTTTTTTCGAATCATCAAACATCCGTGTGTTAATTAAACTTGTTATTAACGTAAATAGTCTATAATCTGCCTTGTGTGTATGGGTTCTAGCCTGGAGCAAACAAATTTGCTTCATTTAATGTGTGACGAAGGTTGTTTAGTGAGTATGTGTCGACTTCACACGTCATGTCAATGTTGAGAATCGAACACGGGTCCTCGTGGTGACGAGCCAACGCTTTAACCACTAGGCTACCCCACCGCGCCACTCCAGCAGCGGAGCTCTCGCAACTCAAGACAACAAGCCTGAATGTGAGGCAGTGCAGACGCACCATGTAGTGTTCTTATTCGAGGAAAGCTTTCGCAAAAACGGATATATGATTCATCCCCGCCCTTAAGACGGGGAAGTATACGGGAGAGGTTAATTTTATAGCATATATGTCGACATGTTGGTTTCTTTGAAATTTCAAGCCACACAGTTACCGAAACGAAACATAAAAATCATGTGAAATGTGCGTGAAATGTTGATGTTTATCTTTTCCAGCAATAAGAGATACTTCAAAATCGTCTTGCTATTCTGAGACTTAGTCACTTTTCGTAATGCTGATAACCCATGAAATTTGTTCATTTTGTTTTTAAAAGAGCTAAAAATGATCCCATTTCGCTAAAGTTAACCGGTCTATATTTTGTAAGAATAAACTATTGCGCATTGAGCGATTATCTCCTTTAGCTATAGGTGATAAATCACGCATTGACCTTGCAATGCTGTACATCGTATCTTATTCAAGCTGTATCACTGAGAGCAAGTGATTATCTCCCTTACCCGAACAGCTCAATTGCGCACTACCTTTGCAATGTATCGTATGTTATTCAGGCAGCCATCGAGAAACGTTCCAGGAAGGAACTCAATTTTCACACTGCTATTGCAACATAATGTTCAACACGATTAAATACCAGGCTTCTATAACGTATGACTTTGTTCAATAAACAACACATGTAAAACAACGGGTTTGATATGAGAAATTTTTTATTAGTTATCTTCATAATCACATGTATGGCGCTTGCTGTGCATAGTTGAGCACAGCATTGTTTTAAATACTTCACTGTATGTAATGTATGGTACATACCGTTTCATGCGGCGGTTTACGTTTCTGCATGGTTTATTGCTTTGACAAAAAAAAATAACTTCCAGCAGAGATTATACACCCGTATATGTTCTTTGCTTCTGGATACATAGGAAATCAACAGGTTGGTCTGTAGTTTGCAATTATTTTCCAAAAAGATAATACGGTTGCATGATATCTTCACGATGTTTTGGTTGATCATAGTAACATTCTTCTAAACAAATTTCAAATCTAAGCCGGAAGCAATCACAACACAAACCCAGTTAACCAAACGGAACCATACACAAGAGTGAGTGAGGGAGTTGGGTTTAACGCCGTTGAATAGTATTCCGTGTCAGCTTGATGTGGGAGGAAAGTCTGAAGTGATGCAGGTCTTAGACGTTCACCACTTTGGTGAAACCAACGAGCAAGGGTTTTGTGCTGACAACAAAATCGGGGCGAACCGAGATTGAAACACACTGTCATAGGTTTCTGGCGTGCCCAATTTAAGGGACACAACTCTGCATAGCGAATTGCAGCGACTTGGCCAACCATGTCCCCGTAAAAAACTGTAAGAAACTGATACAACAAAGATGTTTTAGATGAGATATGTATTGCGGAACATTCCATGAAAAAACAGTGGCAATATTACACAATCACAAACTACAAAATACATGCACAATAAACGACAATTAAAAAACACAGGAACATTCAACATTCAAAGGAGGTACATTATAACAATTTTATTTAAAAAACAAGTGTATTATAATGATATGGAAACAATATGAGAATTGAGCAAAACTATGGTAATGTTGTACATACATGTACAAGGAATTTGTTTGTAATTGTTGATATGTTAACAGATCTTGGAAGTTGTTTCTGGATAACTGTTGGTAAACTTATTAAGAATCTGTGTACCAAATTCTTTATCATGATTGGGGATTATTTGTGATTCTCTTTCTTGGTTGTATTATGTAAGACAGTGCGTAATGTTGTTCATCTTCTGAGACATCACGTTTCACAGAGACGTTGTTCAAATGGGGTTGGTGTTTTTGTATATCTACAATTTTTTCAATTTTCAGTTTGTGATTACTTAAACGAAGTTTTGAGAAAAGTGACCTATGGCCTTTGTTTTTACAATATGTAAGATAATTCTCAATATTTATAGATAACGTGACCAAACTGTATGTTCCTAACTTGCTGCTAGATAAATGGGAATCCATTAATGATTGCGTGTATTTTTACATTTGAACTGAAGTATATTTAGAGATGATTCATTACATTTTTTGTGTTTACTATTTTAAAAGTTTGCTTTATTTAACCCAACCAACATTTTGACCAGAAATATTGATATTTGCTGCCAAAGCATGCCATAGAGTGACATTTGTTGTGTTATCTATATAGGATTTTTTTAATTGGTACTAATAGTGGGTATATATCAAGTTTTGCCTGACAGGCCCAGTT